GCCCCGTCAGGGGTGTGCGGGCAACAGTAGATATCCCAGTCTCTCTACCCGTTCCTCTCTACCTACTCTCATCTGCCTCGAGCTCTGGACTGGACTGCACCGAGGCGAGAGAGGCACTGCTGCGTGCTCTGAGAAATCGTGCATTGCTGCCTCCTGCCCTGCTGTACCTGCTTCTCACAAGCACTGGCACGCCCTCCTCCTCGTCCCCCGTGTTGCGCCCAGGTGGTTCCATCCCACAAACTTCGCCGTGTTGCTCTGCTAGTCCATGTCACACGATTTCTCCGCCCAAGTCCACGCTGCGCCATATTCGCCCGCGCCGTCGCACTTTTCGCAATCCAGCATGGCGGACCCCAATCTACAGTCGCGACAACAGGCTGTCGCCTATCCCTCGCCGCATTCCTACCCGTCGCCCTCGATGCAGTCGACCTACACCTACCCTCCTCCCCAGGGCCAGCAGAGTAATGAGCCCTATCGCGACTCTCCACAGGGCGCCAATATGTCGCTGCCTCCGCTCAATCTGCCGCCCATACGCCTGCAAGACGGCCAGCAGCCGCCATCGCAACAACAACAACAACAGCAGCAGCAGCAGCCCCAACAGACCATGGGCTCCCCGCTGCCCCCGCCGCAGCACGCAATGCCGCCGCAGTATTATCCTCACCCAGGCCATGCGCCGCCCGGTCAGCAAATGGGCATGGCCAACATGGGCCCCGCGCAGTTCAATGCGATGCGATACCAGCTGCCGCCGCAGGGCGACACGCGTGTCTTGTCCGGCGGTCGCCACAAGAAAGAGATCAAGCGTCGCACAAAGACTGGCTGCTTGACTTGTCGGAAGAGACGTATAAAGGTGAGTGCGGACCGCAACGGCGTGCGATTGGCAGACGCGACGTGATGCGCGAGGCGAGAGGTTCGCCTCGTCGCTTCCCTCATAGTCTGGTCTCGATAACCGAGCCACCAAACAAGCGAGCGACGCTCTAAACCAACCTCATCCCTTCAACTTGCGCATGTGCTGACGATACCAACGTACAGTGCGACGAAGCACATCCCATGTGCCGGAACTGCCAAAAGAGTAAGCGCGAGTGTCTTGGCTACGATCCCATCTTCAAGTCGCAGTCTGGCCCTCCCCAAATTCAACCCGCTCCCAATTCCGTGCCTCCACTTCACTCTGCAAACGCACCGTCTGCACCCCCTTCACAAGCTCAGTCCAGCTACAGCCAAAGCCCCGTCCCCCAGGGTTACGCTCCAGCCTCGTCCGCGCCGGCTGGATACGCGCCAGCTGCATCGACCACGGGCGGTCACCAGCAAGAAAATTTCAACGCCATTGACCCTGCGCTTGCGCAGTCGAGCCAAAATATGCATTCGAGTGCTCCCTCCTACAATGGCGTGCATGCTCTGGACCCCGCCATGAGAGGCCCGCCTGCCGCCCACCCATACGGACCCCCTCCAATACCAGAGCCCATCAAAGGTGAGAAGGCCGTGGCCCGGTACACGCCTCATGTCAAGCTAATACAAGGATAGCAAAACGTCTCCACATTGGTGATATATTTGGCATCTGTAACCACAGCCCACCAGAGGTCCCTCAGCGGACTTCTCCTGTGCCAGCTGCTTTTGACGAGGATTTTACAAACATATTTGTCAACGACTACTGCCAAGGCTTAGATTTCATGCTCCAAACAACGTGGTTCTCGGCCAATAACAACGCGCTGAACAGAGTTTTTGCTGACAGAAGTCTGCATGAAGAGGCTGCCTACTTTACCGAGACAATCAAGTACAAGGCCTCGAGCACCGACATGACAGGGGTCTTTAGTCAGGAAGCCCGTCTCATCTGGCATCTTCTGGGTACCTGCAAGCATACCTCTCCGAGCACAAATGGCGCCAATGGCTCGACAGCGGCCTTCCCCGAGGACGACGTCGCCCTGAAAGAGGTGCGCGCGCGTTTTGACATTCTAGAAGCGCTCCTAACGAATCAAAATCTCGAGTCGAATCCAATGCGGCAGATACAATATGCTGGCGAACTATCCGAGCCAAAGAGAGCGGAGATTGAGTTTTGGCAGGCATTGGGTGACTTTGCTCAGTACTCTGATTCAGACTCGGCGCCGCCCGGCGCCGCCGACCACGCTCTTGCGGCTATGCGAAACGTGTTGCACATGCAGGAAGTGCGCGACGCCATTTACTCTATTGCGATTGCACGACATTACGGTAGTCGCATTGGCGGCTTCCCTAATGCACTCCCTGCTCCAGTCAATCAGCCTACGGATAGTGAGCTGAACAAGCTCCTCGTTGCCATGTCCTTCATCAGCCATGAGAGCAGATCAGCAACACAGCAGGTCCTTGCCCGCATCTGTGACATGGCTATGCTCTCTTGGACCGTCTCGCGGTCACCTTAGCTGAGGTTCTGCTCGGACCTCGCTTCCGCCATCGCAGACCCTGCGGCCCACACCTAGCAGTGGGGAGCGCAGGTCGTGTTCCTGATTGCCTGGTTTGGGCATTGGCAATGATTCTCTTTTGATGGATTCCCATGTATCAGCATTCTTGAATTTGGTCCACCATTCTTCTTCTAAGCTATAATAAGCGGGGCATTCAGAGCCCCAACTTGTTTGTTTCATGCTATCGCTTCTCATGCCTCCCCATGTCTGCATACTGTACACGTCCATTTCGGATTTTGAGCATCATATCTGTATTCCATTCTTGCCTCGCAGCGGCTCCTCTTCTGGAGTTCGTGGTAAGCACAGCATTCTCGTCAGAGATATATACCCCGTTCGACTTGAATTGTGCCTTGCTTCCTACACTCTCCGTTTCCAGCTACAGACAGAGGTGATAATTGTCATTCGGGTGCCGAAAGAGGTTGCAAACAGCCATATCGACAGGAAGTTGATTACGAATCGCGTAGGACATACGAAAAAACGAATACAAACACCAAATTGAAGGCGATTGCATCGCCTGGCCACATGTGATTCTGCGCTCTCCCAGCGTCCACAGTTCTGCGAGAGGAGACAGACCGTAAAAGCAGCCCTGACGGGTGGGACAACGGCTCCACACTGAACAACTGGCAATGTACCGATAGTGAACGACTGCAATAATTGATTTGAGCGCAGGGCTTCTCGGGCCGCCTTCGTCGTAACGCCGCATCACGCCTACCAAGCCAATATCTGAGACATCCCCAGCCGTCATTCTCGGCATTCTGAACAAGCATCCGATACCTTGTGATGATCAATAAGCCAGCCTCACAAGCGTTGTGGTACGGCGCCGTCACTTGGTAGTACAGCAGGGTCCAGATGTTTGGAAAGCTGACGCAGTGACATGGCTCTCTTGAACAACCACGTTTGATTTGTGGGTAACGCATATATCCAATTACTGAGCAGTACTCACATGGGAAGGAAGTGCAGCACGCAGACACGTACTCACCGCCCATTAGCTGCAGACAATTGTCGTGAAGAGCCTTGAGCTGGGCCAGGACTAACGGACATGTTCAGACGGAAGGCAAATGTTCGCTGAGCATTTGAAGTCGCGGTACTCATACCATTCTCTGATCTGGTGATGCCATCGCCACAAGGGAGAGAGCCTGGAAGTAACAATTCGCAAGCCTCCGAGACAAGACGGATACATTGCCCTTGGGCCCAAACACTGAAACCCGTAACGCGACACCGGCCCACCTCCCAAAAGGATCCCGTTCGGAGAATTTCCACCGCCCCGGTAAAGACGCCCAAAAGCGCCTGCACTCCTCATCCGGCTCTCTCTGTTGTGCACCCCGCCCCGCCAACGGTTGTTCTCGAACTCGCCTTGTGCCACACAAACGCCCGTGAAGCAAGCGAAGCCACTCACCGGCCATTCCGTTCTCGTAGAAGATATTGACCAAGCACTTGCCGCGGGTGGCTCGGAGGGGCTGCGAACCTGCGGTCTGTGTGTGCGTATATGTGTACGTGTATGTTGCACCAGACTCTTCTTCGGACCGTCTTGCCTTTTCTTTGAGCAGCCCCCTCCACCTATCCCATTCTCGACTGGCATCATGTATGGCGTTGCCGTTGGGAGACTGCAGGGCGTACGGCATATCTTGTCCGGGAAATGAGGGGTTGCTTTCTATGTGTGGTTGGACCGACGGCGTTGGCTTGCATATGCCGGAGGGAGGGGGGGAACGGGAGGACGAGTGAGGTGGTTGTGATTATGGGTTTAACGGGATGAGGACTGACAGCTCCGAAGGTGCCGAGTGTGCATGTATGTTGTGGGACTTTGGAGGATGGGTGTCGGTTGCTGGGGGTTTGGATGGGCTGGATATCTAGGTGGTTGCGGGTGCATTGGGCGGGACTATGGCATGGGCTTGCTTGTACGTAGGTAGGGTACGTTTACCTAGCATCAGACGGACGGGAAGAGAGGAGATGCAGGATTCTAGCCCCAGAGGTGTGACATGAGCTGAAATCGTCCATTAATCAGGAGTAATACTACTATGCCTCTGTCAGAATTGCAGCCACTGCTCTTTCTTGCTCGATATTCGACGGCTTTTTTCTTCTGTGAATCAAGTCGTATTATAATCCCCAGGGGCGGAGGTCTCATTCCATAATGTGTACGCCTTATCTGAAAGTGTATTCGGCGGGATATGTGTGTTATATCTTCTGTTGCTGGACTCACTTTGGCTTTTCTTGGTTCCCCTGGTATTGCGGGGCGGGCATGGTGGATGTAATGGATAAAGTAAGATGTATCACATTTCAGACCAGATTAGCCTTACCGGTACCTTCCCTTGCCTCTTCCACAATCCTCTTATGAATAAGAATCTCTTATTAACGAGAAAACCGGGCGACAAGAACCTCTTGTTAACGGGAAAACCCTATAAGCCAAACACTCTAACTCCCTATGCCCTCTCTTATTCTAGCATGTTGGGTTCACTATCCACTATCCACCATCTACCACCCACTATACACACACGCCTGTGTCCCTTAGGTACCCGTCCGCCTGCCCGCCACCCTTGCCTCTTGTAGATACCCCGCTTCCACACCATCCTTGGCACACCCCTCGATTTCCCCAATTCTTGTTTTTAATTTGCGCATAATCACTTTAGGTATAGATTACAAAGAAAGGATTCATTTTATATCAATTTCAAATACGGTCGCTTAGCTCAGTTGGTTAGAGCGTGGTGCTAATACGAAGGCTTAAATTTACAGGTCATCACGTGACGCCAAGGTCGCGAGTTCGACCCTCGTAGTGACCATTTCTGCATTTTTCTGCATTTTTTGGTGTTTTTTGGTGTTTCTTTTAGTGTTTTTTGGGGGTTTTAGGCGGGGGGTTAGGTTCGGGATTAAGAGATGGTGGGAGGGTGGGATAGTAGAATAGGCAAATTTAAGCGGTATCAGCACTCCTTCCTATACTTGTTTTTTCTTTCTTGATAAAAATTAAGACTTTGTTTTGTTAAGGCGGCGTTGGCAAAAGTATTGTTTAGTGTTTGTGAGTGGTTGTTGATATCTCAAGTTTTGTACGGTGCTAGAGTGGGTGTTAGGTGTTAGGGGGAGGCGGGATCTTTTGTGGATGGAGGATGCAAGTGCAGAGAGAGGTTTATCGAAGAAAAGGCAAGTGGAGTTAGTGTAGTGAATGCGAGTTTTTACTATAGGATAGTAGAATACGAAGAGGAAGAAGTTAGAAATATGCTGCGAGTTTTTACTATAGGATAGTAGAATACGAAGAGGAAGAAGTTAGAAATATGCTTTGCTTATTTAATTCAAGAGCATAGATGTAATAAAAGGAATAAAGACCTTGACTGTACTGCAATAAAACTTCACGTGAGCTACAAGAATTGCTTGAAACACGCTATTCATGGAATTGATATGCTACAGGATCCTGTCCCGTTGCTGATGCAGAGATACGTACATGCATACGCCTGATTGTCATGCACACTAGTATGTACACAAATAACAAAGAAACTACCCCATACATTGTGGAACCCAAGCCGTGGCTGCTATTCCATGAGTCCAGAGAATACTCGCAATGCGCCTGAATGCCATGCAAAGAAATACAGACAGATGAAAAACCCAGATGTAAAATAAGAAACCTGGATATGCATCCACCTCAACGCCAAGCAGTCCTAAGACCCACATGTAATATTTATACCCACCTATTCACAGAAATAAAAAAGGCAAACCTAGACAACACTACGCCGGGCGCGATGCGCAATCTCACGCTTCGCAATCGTACCATTGCTGCACTTTGTACCGCCCGCAACGGGCTGTAAGACGGCAGCGCCGAAGTTGCAGACGGCGAATTGCGTGCCGTCGGCAGAGCACACAATGGCGCCATCGGGTGAGCACGCGGTACCGGTGCTGTTTCCAGCCGGAGCGGGGACCTTGGGAGTGGGAGGCGTAGGCTTGGGGGCGGGCGCAGGGGTAGCGGACGGGGTGGGGGCGCTGCCGCCTTGGGTGGTTGGGGGTGAGGCCACGGGGGCGGTGACGATGACGATGGTGCGGAAGGTGGAGGTTTGGGCGATGGAGGAGGGCGCGGATGGGGCTTGGGAAACGGGTGGTGCGGCGGAGGGAGCAGTTGGAGGTGCGACTGGAGATGCCGCTGGCGGAGCTGGAGCACCGCTACTACCGTCACCGCCAGAAGCCTGGTTTGCGCAGAGGGGCTTGAAGGCCGAGCTACCACCTTTGGTCACATAATTGCCTGGGTTTGCAAAGGTGTAGTCAAAGCCCTCCGGGGTCTTGCCACAGGATCCAGGAGCGTTGATGTTGGCAACAGCCATATCAGGAAGCGCATCGAACTCTTTCGTATCTGATGCACCGCCAGAGACCGTAACCGGGCCGCAAGCCATGTACATTTCTCGATTTCCAATATGGTTAAACCACGTCCACGCCATTGTCAATTCGCCATTAGGCAACTCCTTAGGAACCTCGAATGGGAAGGTAGTGTCGGAGTCAGAGCCAGCCTCTGGGAGATTGCCAGGGAACGAGTTTACACAGCCGCCCTCGAAGGAATGAATGACCTTCCATTTGGAGGCCTTGGTGGGTTCCTTGTCAGTCGTGACGCTGACCTGACAGCTACCGCCGCCGTGGGTTGCGGTGCCGACAAATGCCAGCTTTTGGGTGGAGCCGACGGGCCATTCATTCATAGAATTGACGGTGTAAGGAATGCCTTTGCAGGGGAAGTCGGCGCCATTCTCTGCGAGAGGGTTTTTGGTTTGTTCGCCAAAAGGAATGGGCTCCTTCATGATCATGTGTCCAGTCGTATGCGGTGGTGACATCGCGAGCATGGCCACAGCTGAGAGAAGGGTTGATTTAGAGAAAAACATTTTCAGGCCGGCTGAAGGGAAGATGTCTGTAATGGTATCGAGAGTTGCGAGTGAGAGAGTGTGTGGCTAAGCAGGTCGTTTGAACCAAGGCTTTGGATCGAGTCGAAAGTGCGTGTGTTTGATTTAGCTTGTGCTTTGAGCTTGTGTTTTTGAGATTCTCGTGCAAGAAGGAAAAAGTATAATATAGTGAAGGGAAGGGATACAATAGCCATTGTTAAAATTGTACAGTGGCTTCACAGTGAGACAGTGTGCATGATCATGGGTGACGCTAGTGAGGTGAATGGGGAAAGTGAGTGATTGGTGGATAGCACTTGTGAGAGGCTCCAGGATCCGCCATGGTTCCTCGTCGGCAACGTTCACCAACCGTAGCCGCTGGCGATGATGCGCGCGCTAGCAGTGACGCTGTACCCTGCAAACGTTTCTAAGGATAATCTACATGGCACTAGAATTGTGATGTAGCCTGCGAAACATTATAATTAGAGGAATATATGTCCTGAGAATGAGGGCAAGGAACATGAAGTGACAGTGAATGAAAGTTGGACAAAAACCTTGATGACAGCAACAATGAAGAGTTAGCAGATTATGGAAGTGAAGAAATTGATGGGAAGTCTTTAAAGTCATGAAAGTGTTTGCAGAGCATCTAATTGTCACCGGTATAGTTCTTGAGAACATGTTGATGGTGGATCTCACTTGAAGAGGTCAGTGGTTCCATTGCGCTAGGCTGTATGGATCAGTAACAGACTGCTTGTAACAGGAGTGATACAGGCAGTCGCTAGAGGCTGATAGCCTTTTACTCGTCCCATTGAAATGACGTTGGAGTTTGTGTAATGGTCAAGGCGTTTGCGGGTGGTGCGAGAATCAAAAGATGAGGGGACGTTGAGGAGGCGTGAGCGACAGTCAGCCTAGTCCGAATGCTGGCTAGTCTCTTCTTGGCGGAATTTAGCTGCATCTGCAACCGCGAACCCATCTCGTCAGTCGCAAGGGACGCGCAGTAACATTTGCGACTCATGCCGTTCTACTGCGCGAGTGGTGACGCCAACATCCATTCACCGTCCGAAGTTTCTTAGACACGCCGCTGGAAACCTGACACTGAATCCCCTCCTTATTGCTGGACATCTCTGCGACGCGTCTCGAAGTTCGCGACCACCACTGTCGAGCATCCCCAACTTTTCGCACACCAGCCGTCGCGTCCAAACAGCCATGTTTACCAGTACGGGGAAAACGGCGCCGCCGCAGGCGTTCATGTCCAGCTATGCACCGCGACTGCGATCCCATGGGAATTCTCTTATGTCGCCCATCGTCCCGGCTTCAAATACATTGCCTGCGCCGCGTGTGACGAAGCGTGGAACTGCCGTCATGAGCTATGCAGAAGATGCCTACGATGATGACGACTTTGAAGACAGTGATCGGCCGCGGCGCGCCACCGGCCTGCGCAGCATCCAACGAGAGGACCCCTCAAACATGGATAAGGCGGCGCAGATAGCAGCGTTGGGCGAAGAATTGGTGGCCCCCATCGACATACAAGGCATATGGCGAGACTGGATGGGCAGGCCCAAGCGGACCCTGTATGTGCTCTGGTCGTTGATGGAAATATGGGTTGGATCTCGGTCATGACTAACAAGCAGGCAGCACAGAAAAGCAGGTCCAAACACAGTCAGTCCTCCCTGTGACTTTGATTCCTATACGGATAGACATGGACATCCAATCCTTCCGGCCAGAAGCCCCACTTCCCACGCCCTCAAATGCACGAGAATTCGGCATCAACGAAGCCTTACCTGCGTACAAACAACCAGATGTGACACCAGCCTACAGGCTAAAGGATACATTTCTCTGGAATCTCCACGAAGCTTTGACAACGCCAGATCAGTTTGCGAAGCAGTTTGTGGACGAACTTGACCTCCCCATCGACCGAAAACCCCATTTAATCCTAAATATTGCCAATCAAATTCGCCAACAACTAGAGGAATATGCTGGTGTTGCACTGCATCCCCTCTTCCACTCGACCGCGGCCCCGGCTGTTCAAGGAACAACTGCGAAACCCGTACTTGCTGCCTTGTCTCGCGCTGGCACTTCGACACCGATGCCTTCTGCGACTAATGGCGCATTGACTCCTGTCACGAACGGTGGAACGCATGCTGAGGGTGCGCAAACACCAAACGGCGCAACGAAGGGTGCAACCAATGGCGCCGCGAATGGCATACCGAACGGTATCAGTGCTACCGCTGCTGCATTACCCTCTGAAGAGCTACATAACCCAGATGATACATACCGTTGCATCGTCACGCTAAATATTAACCTCATGAATCGACTGTATACGGATAAATTCGAATGGTCCTTGTTACATCCTCCAGGCTTTGCTGAAATGTTCGCCAAGACAACATGCGCTGATATCGGCCTATCCGGAGAATGGGTTGCAGCGATGACTCACGCCATTTACGAGGCAGTCTTGAGACTAAAAAAAGAAGCTTGCGAAAATGGCGGTCTGGTTGGTGATGGAGAAATTGACAACGATGCCGTGGAACCAGCGATCGGCGCGGGTTGGCGATACGATCAGGAGCACTTGTGTGACGAATGGGAACCCAAAGTCGAGATTTTGTCACCAGAGGAAATTGAGAAGCGCGAGGGTGATCGTGAGAGACAGATTCGAAGGCTTCGCCGGGAAACAGCGCGCTTTTCTTCGACTACAAACATGACGGGTACACCAGCAAACGAGTTTTTCAACAATGTTGAGCAGCAAGAAAATATGGGCCGTGGTGAACGCAGCAAGAAAAAGAGGAGATTTAGGAGTTTGAGTCCTGTCGGGCGAAGCACCCCTGGAGCCGGATCTGGCTACGGTGGGCAGGACGGAGGGCTGCAAGAAGGGTATGTTTCAAAATTGCACAAAAGTAACCAAACTCTTGCTAACGAGCTCGACAGCGAACGGCAAACATGGCGGTGTGCACACTGCTATGTCTGGGGCACTGCTGTTTGGGCCGTCCGAGACGGCCCTCGGGGTCCAAGAACTTTGTGCCACAATTGTGGTTACCTCTATGAGCGAGACAAGAAGCTTCCGCCATGGTCAGAGAATCTATTCTATCACGAGCGACCGTCGCACGAAATTCGGCAACCCTATCAGGCACGCGGATAGCTTCCGCGAGTGCGGTGACTGCCTTTCGGTGGCGATGTTCGAAGACGCAGCCCGACTAGCCGTTAAAGCTACCCTTGCGACTGGCGGAATGTACGGACGACACGCTTTTAGGGGGCCCAGGATTTGTTGCAACATTTACCAGCATGGCGTTTCGGGTGCAGCTTGCATATTGGCTATCGTCAGGCTGTTGGAACTCCTGTTTCCGATTTCAACCCACTGGAGGAGACGATTCCTGGGTGACTCAGACAGCCGCTGTGCTCTCAATGAACATGATCTTGCTCATCGTGAGACCTGGCCAGCAAATTGCCAGCGATACGCAAGACAGTTCGACAACACTAATCCCACGGCGTCATGTAAACCAATAATCGAAATAGAAACACATTCTCGACATTATGGGTGGTTTGCCGCTAGCGCCAGCTTTCTCATTGTTCATCGGCTTCTCCTGTGAGAACTCTGAGCTCGAGCCTTCTCGGAGCCACTCCACTCTCGATCTCATACTCTATTATGATTCTTTCTGGTTCCGCTCTGGCTACGAATACCTGAAAGGGTAAGTGAGATGCATGGGTCGGAGGACAGCGACAAGCGGTCGCAAATCATCGCAGCGACTATTCTGTAGGCAAGGAGATAGCCGTTGGTGTAAAAGGCGCCTGTAGGATTGGAGCAGAAGAAAGCCCAACACAATTACTGCTATTCAATCTTATCAACAGAATATAGGGTGTTGTGGCTCAAAACATCATATGAGCCCTCCTCACATCGGCACGTACACTGCGATCTGCAGTGGACGCCTTTGCTATTGTTCTCTTGCATTGTGAGCTCGAAAAGAAAGCGTGTAATCAACCAATGCAACGGATCTGACACCCTTGTACTCGAGATTGTGTAACCCCGGCGGCACAATTTCAAAAGCGCTCCTGATGGCTCTCAGTGGGAAGCTTGGCCATAGAGGAGAGATTGGATGCCGAATACGAATGCCGGACTGCTATTGTTGCTGCAACCGCTTCCTATTGTAGACCGTGTACAGGGCTGCATGATGCAACTCCGAGGCGCGCGTGAATGTAAGCACATCGCTATCCAGCCTGGTTTTACTCACTCATTGGTGGTTCCTAGCCAACTTTCATTGATGCACGTCTCACGCCCTTCGGGTACAATGCAAATGAGAAACAGGTAGCTGTTGCTGCTCCACTTTGTGCAACGAGCAGGATCCTACAGCCTAGCCTGCCTGGCGGTTGCCGTGCTGTTCACGAATGTGCAGTGTATTGGTTGATATGACTTTCGTATTGTAGAAGCCAAGTAGGCGTCCATGTTTCCCATGCCCTATTGTTCAGAACAACAGTGATAGGCATCATCAGGACATCCTACCAACGATCTCCTGGCGGCGACACGCAAAGACGAACCACTATTACGAACTAAATCGGACACTGCTATTGTAAGTGTCCGGCTCGCGTCATTGGCCATCAGCCAATGTGATGGCCTGCGATTGGTCTGTGCTGTGGTACCGTACTACCCTATGTGGCTTAGCGCGCGTTATTGAGTTACGAAAGACACAATACAAAGTTGGTTGCCTTCGTCGGAGAAGCACGCGCTGTGCAGTTCTGTGTGTCGGATGCATGTGCGTGAATGCATGACTGGATCATTTTGCTGACGCTTGCTATTGTGTGCGTGTTTCAGTCACGGTGTCAATAGCGGGATGCAGGAAGGATGGGGAAGGTTTGCAAGCAGGTACCTACCTATATAGAGCTGTGCGGTTGCTCCGAGGGAGGGTTGACAGCAAGCCTGTGTTGTTACTCTTTTGGTACTTTTTTGGTACTTTTTTGGTACTTTTCTTGGGCTGAGGACAACATTACAACTTGTATAACGTTGCCTATCATTAAGAGTGTTCAAGGGATATACATCCTTGTGGGTTTCGCATCTTGGTCCACGGCATACTTTTGCATTGCTAATTTTTGTAAGAAGCGTGATTGTCTCCTCTTCCGACCACCGGTATTCGTCAAGTCGGCCGTTCCCGCTAGATTATAGATTTGTTTGAAGACGAAATATCGGGATCCAAATCTCCTGCTACTTCTCGTGGTTGTGTAATATCTGCCGGGAGAGACTTCATCCATATCAGCTTGCACCACAACTCGCCTGATCTCCACCCAACCCATCACCCCAACATCACGCCACAAACTATCACCACCGTCACGATACCCCACAACACCAAAGCCAGCCGGCAGACCTCAGCCCTAGGAAGTCGCATATAGTACCATGGATCCATTCCGAAATACCGCCTTGCAAAGTGCAAAATTACAATCACTGCTTTCATCGTCGGGAGCCACAAACGACAGATCAGACGAGCAGACTTCACAATCCGATATGCCAGCACCACCAGCTTACCACATGGTCGTTGAACCCAACGCACCCACACCCAACCACCACAATCCATATGACCACGAAGAGGGAGAGGAAGACAAAGAAGGCGATGAGGATACACCAGAAGTTACCATCAATGCCGCAACACAGGTTCGAGGCCATGGGAACATAATATCCATTGCGCAAATGGATAGCGTGCGCATCGCAAACCTCGTCTCCACCATTCTCAACGGAGAACCAACCGTACTCCCACCATCGCCTCTGCAGAAACTAGCAGATGTCGCCGCAGCCGCATGCCCACAGCCCACTCCTGCTGCATCGACAACCACACCCTCATCCCCACCACCATCCACATCCACTACACCACCCCGTCAACAGTCCTCACAAGTACATCTCAATCCCAGGACCCACTCGCTCCGCAAGATCAACATCACAGTCAACTGCGGCGCAACCATCATTGGCGACCGCAACATCGTCGGCCCTGGCCTGGGCGACATTGCCCGCCAAATGCAAGTCGCGCAGCGCAACCAAGTGCTGCAGGCTCAACAGCTCGCCGCCCAGCAAGCAGCCCAGCAAGGGGGAGGAGGAGGCGCAACCCTGAAGATGCCATTTCCAGGCGCGGCTTTTGGGCTAGGAAGTGGGCTGGGAGGTGGGTGCTTTGGAAGCCTTCGGGCACGCGAAGGGTTCAACCAGGCGCAGGCTCAGGCGGCCATGGCGCAACATCATGGGATGATGCATGACGCTCAGGTACATACGCCGCCGATGAGTCGGAGTGCGAGCGAGAAGAGTGATGAGGTTGGTGGGGGGAAGAGGAAGAGGGATGGGGATGAAGGGGTAGGGGAGGTGCGTGTGAAGAAGGTGTGTTGAAGGTTGGGATTTTTTTTCTGCATCGGGTGTGACTGTCTTTTTGTTCATTTCGCGGGTGTATGCATATTACGACTTTGGAGGTTGTTTTTTTGGAGGGTTGGGAGGGCGACTGAGATACCCTGGTCTGATGGCTAATTGGTGATTTGTTAGCATTGGAGATGAAAGTACTATAGGAGTCAATCACAGATACTACGAGGCAAAGACAATGTAGTGATGAGCACACAAAAAGGTCCAAATGGAAAGAAAGTGGAGCCGAGGTAGCAGTCCAATTTCGAGATGATATGTGATGAAGATACAAAATGAATGACCCTATCAAAGAAAATCAGAAATACCTAAGAGCAATTGCAGAGAGATCAAACATCCAACCTTGAAAGGGAGAGAAGAGGCCAGACCCTGCCAAGGCTTGTCCGTCATCTCGTCAAGACACAGCGTGTCACCTCGAAACCGATTAAAAGGGGCATTTTTTTTTGTTGAACGGATGTCAGCACACGACTGGCCCTCCATCAGAGAAGCAGGCCAACCAACAGCAGCACATGTTATCCCATAAACGGCGTGACCGTCCAGTACGACTGGCCCATGTCGTACAGGTACCCTGTGGAACGCGTTCTGACCGTGTACCTAACACACATGTATATACCGTGTAGGTATATACACAGCACAGTAGAGTATGCCTGCCATGGTAGAATGAATCGAGGACTGCTGCTCGTGTCTCAGATCGGGAGGGTCGGTGTTACGATCCCCTTTCCCCGAAGAACGAGCTGCTCGATGGGTAATACATACAACAGTACGTACCTACATAGCCTCAAAGTCGCAAAGGTGGCCTTTTGGGATTGGCACCGTGCGTCGTCGGCAGAAGATTGCCAGGTGGGCTGGCCATTGGGCTCGGCTGGGTTGGCCTCCAGCTCCCAGCTCCCATGAATATATTCATTTGGGACTGCACTGCTGGAGCTGCTCGGTGCACACTGCGAAACAGCAGAGGAGAGGGCCGTTGAAGGAGATGAATTGGCCCGACAAGGCGTTGGGAAATAAGGCCGTCCGCAGTTCGCGGCACTCGCTCTACAGTCTCTCTACACAGTAAGCTCATATCAAATCATATTGTCATCTCCTTGTCTACATAGCATGACGCAGAAAGTGAACCCCTAGAACGCGACTTCCCTCGTAAATCCCCCCTCCCGCCCCCCTCTCCCCGTTAGCGCCACTAGCGGCACACCGAACGGGAAAGCACCTTGCACTCAACACCACCTGCCCTTTACTACCTACTCTCACCTTTGTGTGTTCTCTCACTTTCACTCTCACTCTCTATTCACCTCCATCCCCTCTCATTGACTTCCGATTCTTGCTTGACTTTTTCTCTCTACACTTTTACAAGAAGTCGCCAACTCCCAAGGGCCCTGCAGCACGCCTCAATCGGAGGTTCGGAAATCGGAGGTGCTACATCCCGAAGTGGATTCAACACCATTACCTGGCCTCTTCTTGCGACGCCATCCATCATACCAATAATTCGAGAGTACTGCGCAACGCGTGCGATCGCGTCGCATTACTGGAATAGAATCAGCTTTCCTAATCATTCGGGTCCCTCACCTGTTCCCTCCTTGCTTCATCGGATCTCACCTCCGTTGGGAGCTCCCTCGCTGGAACTGACTACCTGCCCGACTCGACGACGCACCGCCAAATTTCATCTCCCTCGAACTCGCCCAATCCACACCCCTCAGCTCACCGCAACGCCTGGTGATTGAAGTCGAGTCCCTTCTCACGATCAGAGCTGCTATACCCATCCACACAGTCCAAGCATTGCTACCACACACCTGAAACATGCAGACCTGGCAAAGCTGGGCCATCTTCCTGGCCATCGCCGGTGCCGCATACTGGTACTACAACCAAAATAGCCATGCTGGCGAACGGGGACGATCAGCCACTCGCACACCAATTGGCGGCGCCTTGAAGGACTCTGTGCAATGGAGCGATTCTGACAACAAGAAGCCCAAAGCAGTTCAGAAGCAGGCCAAGGCCAAGGCTCCCCGAAAGTCTGTCAAGTCGGCTGTCCAGGAGGTGGGCAACAAAGTCGAGGCAGCGCTTGCCACAGCCTCGCCTACGTCTGATGCAGACGATGATTCATCCCGGGCCGCTTCACCTGTCGCCCCCTCCAACAAGATGCCTAGCGGAAAGGACGCGTCCGACATGTTGGACTCACAGCGTGCCGCTCCTGCGGTCTTGAACCTCAAACCTGCCGACAAGCCCGCTCGCTCGGCCAAGCCTCAGGTCAAGAAGACGGAGAGCACCCAGGAGACCAAGAAGCAGCGCCAGAACAGGAAGAAGGTGGAGGAGGCCAAGGCTGCGCGTGAAGAGGAAGAAAAGGAACGACAGGCTCTCCTGGAGAAGCAGCGTCGCACCGCTCGTGAAGCTCGTGGCGAAGCCGCCAAGAACGGACTTCAGCAGGCCAAGGCTCCTGCATCGAACGCGTGGACCACGGTCCCCAGCCGCGGCGCTGTCCAGCCTCCGGCGTCGGCTCCTACTGGCCAGCTCCTCGACACCTTCGAGGCTGCATCTACTGGCAGCACGAGCGATGCGCCCACCAACGGAACAGCGCAGAGCGCTGCCTCTTTCAACGGTCTGCCCTCTGAGGAAGAGCAGTTGAGGCTTGCCATGGAGGACTCTGCTTGGACTACAGTCCCCAAGGGCGGCAAGAAGGTTCGCAAGACGGTGAACGAGGAACTCATGGAGGAGAGCAACAACAACATCGCTGCCGAGCAGGCTGCGCAGCCCGTCAAGGCTGTCCGGCCTACCCCAGCTTTGAAGCCGGAGAACCAGAAAGCCAGCTCCCGCTACCAGATCCTCTCGGAGGACTTTGCTCCTTCCCACCCCCAAGATTCTGACTGGCCGGTAGTATAATGGCAGCTCCGCTGATGAAGCGTTAGAATTGAAGCCGCCTTGCATGGTAGCCAAAGGTAGGCTTGGAAACGTTGCGATGTGGTCTTTTGTGGCAGGAGTGGTTCTGGCCAGGCGACTCCAGGCGCTGGAGTCATGGCCTATTTAGCGTTCCTTCTGTATACTTGTTATATTGCCATCACCTATTTCGCAGCAGATCAGCCAGCGACAGTAAGATGTAAATTTGGGCTATGAGCCTGCATTTCCGGGAAAGGACAGGCCCATGGGTTCGGCTTTCTCTTGCTCATCCAAGGCGTTGGAGTGGCCAGATCGCGTCAGTGGATCGACGCGGTTATGTTTTCAATTACTCTTCCTGTCTTTTTGCACTTTTATTCCAAAGCAGAACTGAAAAGTTATTTCGCCAATGTCTCCAGAATGCAAGCACTTGGATGTGAGAGAGTGTCGGCGGATGGCCAGGTTTGCTTATTGATAGTAAAATAACAAAGACCCAACAATCAAAGTGCCATTGCTTCCTCGTAATGATTGGACAAACCGCCTTGAGATGCGCTTATTCTCTTTTCCGGTGGGACCAAACACTAAATACAACAAAGTCCGGACTAGTCCATGAGACAATACACAGTTGGCGAGAGTAAGGGAGATGTGGCTTTATCGATGGGTGAGCTCGAGCACTAGAGGCGTTGATCAGTAGACAAAGTTCGGTTTATGGCTGCCTAGGTATTCTGTCTACATCTATATATATTATACCATCACATGGCACATGATGAAAGTGCGCTCTAGTTTCGAGGAAACAATCAACTTTCCTCTTAGACTAGGCGAAAAGCAAGCAAGTAATTGAAGGCCAGAATGCGTGTGAGTATATTGCACCTGTACATGAAGTGACGGGCGTGGTTGCAGCGCTAGTTGCTGACATAATCACGACAGTTGCTTGGGCCAGTGCCAGGTGTCCTTCACGCAATTATGGAGCTTCGGCAAGCCCCAAAGCCCCGAACTTACATACCCACTTCAACGCCGCGCTCTCCTCCGCCCCTCTTAACCTCCATTCACTCCTCCCACTGCAGAACATAGGCCATGGCGCAAATACGCGGCACTGCAGGGTACCACCTGGGAAACCAAAGCCCCTTTGGCAACGCTGGTCGCGTTGACGAGACGAGGAATGACCCAAGTCCGCTGGAACAACTGAGGGCGCAGACGAGCAAGCTCGAGGATATGTTGGACACGGTTGCGGACCCGATCAAGCCGTGAGTTTCTTTCTATAAGAAAGCAGCTGCTGTGCTTGTTTGCTGATCGAGTCTCACCAGATATCTTCCTGCAATTGGCCGCTTCTTGATCGTTGTTACCTTCCTCGAGGACGCGCTGCGCATAATAACACAATGGAATGACCAGCTCATTTACCTCCGTGACTACCGACACAGTATGCGAATTCCCATCCTACCTCTTGACACGCCAGGGTGAATGCTAACACGCCAATGATCAGTCCCCAATTACATCACCCACCTTTTCCTCGTCATAAATGTCATTCTCATGACCGCCGGCTCGATCATGGTCATTGCAAGGAAACAATCGGAATACGCAGTTGGCGCGCTCATGGGCGTTGTCGTGCTCCAGGGCCTCGGCTACGGTCTTGTGTTTGACCTGAACTTCTTCCTGCGCAACCTTTCCGTCATGGGCGGTTTGTTGATGGTGCTGTCCGACTCTTGGGTCCGCAAGAAGTTCGCCCCCGCTGGTCTGCCAACGCTCGAGGAGAAGGACAAGAAGATGTACTTCCAGCTCGCCGGTCGCGTCCTGCTCATCTTTCTCTTTGTTGGCTTCGTCTTCCGCGGAGACTGGGGCTTCTGGAGAATTGTAGCCAGTGTTCTTGGACTCATCGCTTGTGTCATGGTCGTTGTTGGCTTCAAGGCCAAGTTCTCGGCGATTATGCTGGTTCTGATCCTCAGCGTGTTCAACCTTTATGTCAACAACTGGTGGACTCTGCACCCACACCACCCCCACAAGGACTTTGCCAAGTACGATTTCTTCCAGATCCTGTCGATTGTGTAAGTTTTCTTCCACCCCAAACCCTCGACATGTACAGGACTAATTTAAACAGTGGCGGTCTTCTCCTGCTCGTCAACATGGGCCCAGGACAGTTCTCCGTCGACGAGAAGAAGAAGGTTTACTAGACGACGTGTACGTTCTACGACAGTATTTCGACATCATTTTGGGACACGTCAATGGCATGTCCAAACACCATATTCAATATCACGCAACAAACTATCACAATGTGTAAGGGTGAGGGGGAAATATGACGGGAGTGAACGCTCGAGAGCTCACGACACGAAGATGTGGGAGTAGATGGATGGGTATTTATTTTTCCAAAGAAAAAGTGGGTTGCAGGTGCGCTTGCAAACTTGTCGTTTTTGTCTGCGGCGCGCGCTCGAAATGCAAACTACATTGTAGAGTATTGTGGCATCTGGCGTTGCTTGACTTTGTGGGTGTTTGTGCTACCATTAAACTCTTTCAACAAAGTATTTGGCCCTGGCATATAGTATTCTAAACCCTTTTTTTGCCGTGGTGGGAAGCATGAATGCATGGGGATGTAATGTCCCGCGTATACACAGGATATGAGAGCGGTGACTGTCTGTTGTCTGTTTGCGAGCGTAGTGTGCTTGACGGGGACCTCCGCGCTTTGACTCTTGTGGGTGTGCTGTGACAATTCGTCTGCGTTTAGACCATTTACTGTTTGTCCAGGGGCACCTTCTATCTATGGACAAGCTGCCGCATGCTAGTCGCGCCAAACATGGTCGATTGCTTAGGTTGGTTCATTCAGGCCGAGTTATCTAATCCACACCCTTTCGCTGCCCGCACTTACGACATACCGGTACTGCACTGCACCTGTTACAACACTGTACACTGTACTACCTCAGCCTACCACTCGATTGTTTCTATTCCTCCTCTTCCGTTATTCAGACGTGGGCCATTGCTCCCTGGCAGAGGGAATATCGGTTATGGCGCCCAATCGGGTGATTATTGATACTGATCCTGTGAGTTTTGTGCGTGGGGGTGCGGGGTTGGGGGGTTGTGGGTTTCGCTGGTACTTTGGCCATGTTGTGGAGTGGCTATGGGACCTTTGTGTCTTGAAGCCGTATACGATTCCCTTGCTTCCTCGTCGAATTTGCAATTCCTTCAGTTCGATTCCAATTCACCGCCGGCCCGCTCATTACCCCCGGTTTGGAAATTGCAAAGGGATGCATGCAAATCCAACTTGGGGGCTTGGGCAGTAGCGGGCCGTTGTAATCGATACAATCGACACGCTGTAAGGTTTTCTTTGGCTAACTACTGTGATTGCATTCCTAGGGTGTGGATGATGTTCTTGCCATGTTGCTTGCGTTTTCGGCGCGGGCGGAGGAGTTGGAGGTTTTGATGGTGGGGATTACGTTTGGGAATGTGGAGGTGCAGAAGTAAGTGGGGGATTGTTGTGGTATGATTGTGCTAATGTATATGGCTGTAGTTGTCTGCGTAATGTTGTTACGCTGTTCCATTATATCGAGAAGGAGAGGGCGTGGAGGAGGGAGAATGGGAGACCGCAGGGGTTCGAGACGCTGGATGGGAGGAAACCTATTGGTAAGATGATGATGATGGTTTGATGTTTAGATGATAGTGTCTGATTGGATTCACACAGTTGCTGTGGGTGCTGAGGAGCCACTCGCGGAACATATGATGGTTGCGGACTTCTTTCGTAAGTGGACTGTTTGTCATGTGCGGAAGAGAAATATGGCTAACGAGTTGTAGATGGAGTTGATGGGTTGGGCGGCATACATCATAGTGTAAGCTCCTCTCTACACTACACCTTGACATGCATCGTACTAAGTTGAGATGTAGCACCCCCATCTCTCGCCCGCGGAAACATGGAGAACCCTGTTCAAGCCTACTCCAGAAAATCTCTCTGCTGAAGAAGCGGCGGCTCTCCAGAAGGTCAAGGAGCAGCACTCCCTCTTCATACCGTCTTTGAAACCAGCTCCTGAGCAGATGCTGGATATTCTGCGCGAAAACGAACCAGATACAATCACCATTGTTGCCGTAGGTCCACTGACCAACCTGGCTATAGCTGCAGCAAAGGACCCCGAGACGTTCCTCCGTGCCAAAGAAGTCGTTGTAATGGGCGGAGCTATCGAGGCACCTGGAAACGTAAGCCCCCGATTTCTTATTCTCGTCTCTATTCCCTGTATTCTAGGACTTGGTCTGAAGTCAAACCCTAGCCCCCGCCCCTCCATCTCATTTACTCACCCTCCACCCTATCCATACCCGCACCACCATTCTCTCTCATCAAACAAACCGACAACCCACTCCGCAGACTGCTAAACTTCCGCAACCAGATGACTCCTGGCGCCGAATTCAACACCTACGCCGATAGCATAGCCAGCGCCCGAATCTTCGCCCTCACCTCTCAGAACCCCCACCTAACCATGCCTCCCACTCTTCCCCACCAGAAGAAACAACAACTGCCCCCCTACCCCAAAACGCTTTCCCGCCGCCTCACCCTCAAGCTCTTCCCCCTCGACATTACCGAGCGCCACGTGCTCCCCAAAACCATGTTTGAAACCTACATGCAGCGCGAGCACATCAAAGCCTCTCCACTAGCATCATGGGCCTCGCTCTTCCTCACCGCCACCTTTGCCAAAAACGCAACTCTCAACCCGCAACAAGACCCGGCGACTGCGGGCCTCCAGCTCCACGACCCATTGACGATATGGTATGCGCTGTCTGCGTCCCACCCGGCCTGGACATTTCAAACAGAAGACGTGCGCGTGGAAACGAGTGGACAGTGGACGAGGGGCTGTTGTGTTGTTGATCGGAGGGGGAGGCCGGTGAGGGCGGGTACGAGTCCGTTGGAGGAGGAGGTTGTGGGGGATGCAGGGGGTTGGCGCGATAGTAGGAAGGGAAACAACGTGGGTTGGTGTAGGGAGAGTTTGGGTATTGATCGGTTCGCGGGGGTTTTGTTGGGGAGGGTGTTTGGCGATGGGGAGGAGGTTTGATGGCGGGGAATGGTGGGTTTGATGGCGATTGGGGATGCTGTGGTGTTATTAGGTGTGTTTGGTGGACAAACTAGAGAGGCTTTTGGAGCATGTCATATGTGTTTCTTCCTCGAGGGGAAGTTGTGATCATGAACGGTAGAACGGTAGACTGTTGACTCTAGACCTGTAGTAGATTTCTTTTTCAAGTTGCACCTTCGCTGGTGGTCTGTCACTTGAATATCTCTCTCCATCCATTGTGGATTATCATTGTGTTCTCCTTCAACTCCTCATTTCGCCAGGCCGCGAGTCCTTATTCAAGAACAAGCCACGCTCGGACCCAAACCTAAACCCCACCCAACCCAGCGCTACAATCAATAATGTACCGCCCACCCCACTCTCTCTCTCTCTCTCACTTCCTACAATACGCACCTCCCCAAACCTCTTCTCTCACCGACAATATATATCTTAAAACTCTCAATTTTGCCACCTGTAACGGGTCTTTACCAGAAGCCTCGCCGTCATCCCCATACACCTCCCTTTTCCCATGCCACAGCAGGAGCCCAGTTCGAGCCCCGCGGCGTCCTTTGCATTTTATGCAACGCGTCCACTCACCCGGGTAACCAGTGATGCTGGAGGGACTTAAGCGATGAATGCAACCTTGACGAGGGAAGAAATTCTGCAGTCGGGCATTTACCGTGGGGCGGCGGTGCTGGATTACTCTCGTTGTTTGGTTGGGGGGTGTGTGGTGGGCTGGTGTGGGCGACTGGTATTTTTTGATGCTTGTATGTTTTTTTTTGGTTAGGGAGGGGAAGGTGGATTGTTTTCTATGCGGTAGACATGGTGATTGAGTACTGTTTATTAACTAGTTTTTAAAAACAAGTGCACCTCCTTACAATCTATCCGTCTCTTACATGCGCTGTTTTTAATACTTTTGCGACAACTGAAATGGATAATAATTCAGTTTGTTGGTCGATAGGGTACATCTATACAATGTTGTATTCTATTCGTCCACTGTCCCTCGTCCCTATCCAACAAGGGCGCAAGGTGTGTTTGAATACGCTGGGATGGGTATATAGATGGATATCTGCTGAGCATAGTCTTATCCCTGTCTTGTCCATTTCTCCGTATCTGATCGGACAGATTCCATGTCGACTTCCCTTGTTCCCTGGTCTGGTTCTGGCTGACGACGGCATCCTCCCCACCTGTGCGCACTGGACATGGTATCCTAGCTGCGGTGTGTCTCGAGCCCACGCCAAACCATAAGTTGCAACAAGTTTACTATTTTCTTCTTCGTCCGCTAACCACCCTGTTTCTCATCCGACTTCAATGGCAGCCAAGGCGGTAAAGACTTCTTCTGCCACGCCCCCAGTCTCCACCACCATCTTGGTCAGCTGGGCTACGAGGCTCCTCTTCATGCCGCCGCGCGGGGGAGTCCAAACGCCCGAGGTGGCAAGCAATTCGCGTTGGGTGAGGGCATCGGCCATGGAGGTCGGGACCGTGCCACCGGTTGCCGAATTCATCGAGTTGGGGACGCCAGGAGGGGTGAGATGGGACGGGGGATCAATAGTGCGGATTGCGAGGATGCGGGCGGCTGTTGTGGAGGCAGGAGAGTGTGTGCAGGCCATTGCGAGGACGGCGTCTGCGACTGCGAGTTCTTCTTTGGCGGGGTCGAAGATGATGTTTTGGTCGACGGCCATGGCGAGGATGATGATGGGGGGTTTGCCGATGGAGGGGATGAAGGCATGGGGGCCCGTGGGTTTGGGGTAGAGGGGTACGGCGGCGTCCCAGTCGTCGTCGAAGAGGGGGTCTTCGTCCCGTTCGGACTTGAGTGCGGGGAGGCGGGTGGTGATGAGGGCGAGGTGGGTGGTCATGGAGAGGAGGGCGAGGGGGTAGGAGAGGGGTGGGGAGAGGAGGAGGATCTGGATGGCGTTAGTTTTGCTTTGCTTTGTAAATAGTCTGGAGTCGTCACGTACGTCAATGTAGAGCTTCCAGTGGAACCGGCTGTTGATGTACAAGCGGTCCTTGAACGCTCCACTCGCAAGCAAGCTCTCTGTGAGCATGGAGGAGAGAAAGACAGGCAATGCATCCTCTTCGCGAAAGCCTGGCACTTGGACGCTCATCTCCACCCACGCGTTCTGGCCTTTTCCTTTGCTCTCGTCGTCGTGGTCGTCAGTCTCGCCCATGCGCACGTTCTGTGCTGGGTCGCCCAAGACTGGCGACTGCAGCGACTTGTCGACCTCGGCCTTGACGCCGACTAGGGCTTCGGTGCCGTCCTCGAGGGCAATGCGCGCACTCCCGTTGGCGGTGGGCAGGACGTCATACTCTGCGCGCATGGAGCGAAAGTCGCGGGGCCCTTTGGTGACATCGAGGCGAATGGGCGGCGTCTGGGAGAGGGTGGAGCGCAGAAAGGAGAGCTCGGCAGGCGAGAGATTGACGAGAGCCTGGTGGGAGGGCGCCATGGCAGGTCGTGTAGGGGCGAGGGGGGGGGGGGG